GGCCCGCCCGGCCTATCCCCTGCAGCCGCGGCTACCCGGCAGGGCCCCTGAGAGGAGCAGTGTGCAGCTGCTGGCCAGCTGCATAGATAAAGGAGATCTGAACAGCCTGCACAGTCTGCGGTGGGAGCCGCCAGCTGACCCGAGTCCAGGGCCAGCCAGCGAGGGGGCACACAGGCTGCCCCCAACGGAGAGCATCATCCACGTGCCCCCTCTGGACCCTGGCATGGGGGTGCAGCATCAGAGAGCCACGGGGGCCTCCTCTTGCCCATCTCAGGCTGCAGCCCCAGCTGGATTACAGGACTTGAAAAAGCAGGAAGTCGGTCGCACTGGGCAAAAAGGGACAGCCACCTTGGGGAAGGCAGAGCAAGCCGCGGCTAACCCCCCAGAGCCAGCAGCCCCAGACCTCCAGGCCGCCATGCAGAGTCTGCGCGTGGCAACAGCCGAGGCCCAAAGCCTGCACCAGCAGATGCTGAGCAAGCACAAACAGGGCCCCATCCCTGCAGGCCCTTCTAGGCCCCGTCAGGAAGTTCTTCTGCAAGCACCAGCCCCGGCCACTGGGGCTGTCCAGAACACCACCAGGCCTGTAGCAGGAAGTGACCCCAGGATCCCAGCAGCCCCAAGAAAGGTCAGTGGGAAAGAGAAAGCCACACCTACAGGGCTGCCTGGGGGGTGGGTGACAATTCAGGACGGCGTCTACACTGCTCACCCCGTGCGAACTTTTGACTTAACTGGGGGACTCCAGTCTTCTGAGAGGGAACTCCAGGTACCGGGCAGAGTGAATGACCTTGCGTCCCAGGTTCCCAGCCTGCTCCAGGGAGGCCCAGGTCAGCACCCTGGGCCAGGGCGGGGGGAGCCTGGGGACCACACACAGAAGGCCTGCGGGTCTCCAGGGAAGGTGATGGCAGAAGGCTGCCCTGGGAGCCTCCAGGCTGCAGAAACCACCCTGAAGACTGCCCCTTTAGCCCACCATGCTCTGGCTTCGGAGCCCCAAGCTCCAGGTGCCAGCCTGCACTCCCATAATGCCTCTGTTCCTCCTCCTCCTGCTCCTTCAGCTGCTGTGACTGGACCTGACCTCACGCCTCGAGCCTGCCACGACGAGGCCTCCCTGCAGGACTCTCCCCTTCCTTCCCACAGCAGCCCTGCTGGCCCGAGAACCCCTGGAGGAGTGCAGATGAAGACCCCGAAACTGGAGCCCGCCATGCTCCCCAGGAAGAAACCCCAGGTGCCTCCCAAACCTGCACATCTAGCCCAAATGCACCCTCCGCGGAGGCTTCCCAAGCCCTCAGCTCCAGCCCCCAGCTCCTCCTTGGAAGTGCAAGTGCGGCAAGGAAAACACCAGCAAGGTGGGACAGAGGCAGCCAGCCCTGAGCCAGTCAACGCTCCCACTGCTGCAGACCAGGGTCTTGTCGCTCTGTCTGGATGTCCCAGTAGACAGAGTCAGCCCGGGCCCCAACATGGTCTCAGCGCCGTGGCCCACAGACCCATCGAAAATCAGGCTATGGAAAGTGATGCCCAGAGCCCTGAGTCCCCCAAACTCGGTAATCTCAGCAGTGACTCCACCTCACCACGTCAGGCCTCCAGTCCCCCAGGAGAGCGGCCCATGGAAGGTTCCAAGCAGGGAGTCCCTGAGAGCACCGAGATTCTGCAGGGAAGCCGACAGGAGCTCCAGGGACTCCTGAGCCAGGTGCAAGCCTTGGAGAAGGAGGCTGCAAGCAGTGTGGACGTGCGGGCCCTGAGGAGGCTCTTTGAGACTGTGCCCCAGCTGGAAGCGGCTGCCTCCCCGGCTCCTGCTGCCCACCTCCAGCCTGAGGCCTCGGTAGAGCAGGCCTTCGGGGAGCTGACTCGGGTCAGCACAGAAGTCGCCCTGCTGAAGGAACAGACCCTGGCCAGGCTGCTGGACATCGAAGAGGCCGTACACAAGGCCCTCAGCTCCATGTCGAGCCTCCAGCCTGAGGCTAATGCCAGAGGTCATTCCCAGGGACCCCCAAAAGACCATGGTGCCCACGTGGTCAGTGTCACAACCAGCAGTAGAGCTAGGCGCAGTTGCTCAGGTCAGGAGGTCAGAAATCAAGCTGCGGTGAAAGGCCAAGGCGAGGCTGGAGGCCATACTGAGATGCAGAGTCAGGCCAAGGTCACTGGTCACAAAGAGGGCAAAGGTCATGCAGCCCCAACTGCCCCTCCGACCAGGGGTCTGGACACACCCAGGGGAGAGTCAGGCCTTCCTCGAGTCTTGCCTTCCAGCAGAGATTCTCCCTCCTCCCCAACCTTCATCTCCATCCGGTCAGCTACAAGGAAACTTCCCGGGCCTTCCAGCCCTAAGGGAGGCCCCGAAGTCTCAGCAAAAAGCACACACACGGCTCAGGACATGGGCCAGGCCCTGCCCCACCAGAAAGGTGTCCAGGCCAAGGCTGAGAAGAAAGAGGTGACCCAGTGCTCTGAGCAGCCCAAGCCTGCCCTTGCCTCAGCCAGCCCCCTGCCCACGGGACGGCAGAAGACTGTTCTAGAACTGCAGGCCGGGCCGAGTCATTCCCAGTGCTATGGAGCCACGAGAACCGTGACGGAGCAGTACGAGGAGATGGACCAGTTCGGGAACACAGTGCTCACGTCCTCCACCACGGTCACCGAGCAGGCAGAGCCGTCCAGGAGCCCAGGGCCCCGCCTCGGGCTCCATGCCTCCCCGTTGCTAAGGCAGTTCTTGCATAGCCCAGCTGGCTTCGGCAGTGGCCTGGCTGAAGCCGAGACAGCATGGGTGCCCTGCAGCCACTCCCCGTGAGCCCCCGGGCCTCCCACCATGCCCCCCACTCATCACCGAGGGCCCCGGGATGGACGTGGGTGCCTGCCACCTGCACTCAGGGAACAAGGACCGAGAAGAAAGGGTATCTTCTGAGGATTGTTGGGGGGTTGTTTCTGTCCATCGGTTCCATAAGCGGGCCCAGTTCTTGTAAAAGGGAGAATAAAGGTTGGGGAGAGGCCCGCGGAGTAGGGCAGGCAGGGGTAGATGAGGCACCCAGCTGCCTGCAGGGGACATAATTCATGCATGCACACACAGGCTCCGCACACAGGTCAGCCCATGCAAGGGACACCTATGTGTGCACACCACGCCGGAGCTGTGCCCCCCACCCTCACCCTCGTCACCATCACCCTTAAGTCTGAATGTTCCCCAGGCTACTCCTTAATCCCTAGTGGGACCAGCCCCAGCTGGACACAGCACTGACCTCTTTGAGGATTGGTCTGAGGGTTCGTGGTGGTCCTGGCCACCTTTGTCACCATCTACCTACGACCTGCATCATTCAACTGGTCAACCTGGTGACCCAAAGGTCACCCAAAGGTTAGCAATCAGTCATGTCCTTAGACACCAAATGTACTGCCTTCCTCTGTCCCCCCCCCTCACTCCCACACTCTGCACCCCAAATGGGAAGGATAAAGTCTGAATAAACACAGGTTTTATTCTCTACACCGCGTCTGTCTGACTGTGTGTGCATCTGCTGCAAAGTCCGTGCGCCCGCGGTGGGGGAAAACAGCCACAGCAACAGCAGTGCTAGACGGCTCTGCAAGGCCTCACTTTCCCCACCACGTTGGCTGGGAACGAGAAAATCCCCACCCGTGTCTGTGTTCTTGCTTCCTTCCCTGTCCCCCCCGACCCACACACACACACACACACACACACACTATCCCCTCTGCCTCTGGCCTGCTGTCTTCGGGGCTTTTCAACATTGTACTGGGGGAGGCGCTTAGAATCCTGCCCAAGAGTGGGAGAGCAGACGGACCAGGCCTGGGAAGGTGGGAGGACCTTATACCAGCAAAATGTCAGTGCCCAGACCAGACAGCCGAGCAACTTCTAGTTCAGGCCAGAGCTGTGTGCCAAGCAGGACATCCTGGGAAGAGGAGGACACAGAAAGTCAGAATGATTTGGCAAAGAATCCTTTTCACTGATTTTCAAAATGCATGGAACATCTTCCATAGGCCAGGCCTGTTCTAGGCCAAGGGGACCCTGCAACGAGGTCCAATGGAGTCCTCCTCTCAGGGAAATGACTTTTAAGAATGAAGAGACAAGGATCAGCAGGTAGCATGGTAGTTGAGGCACTGGACTCTCACATAGCTGACTGTGGTTCGAGTACCGGACCCAGTGGCTTGCTTTCTCACTTTCCCTTTCTCTCTGTCTCTGTCTCTCTCTCTCTCAATCTCTGTCCCTCTCTGGTCAAAGTAAAAAATAAATAATAACAAATAAGATTAAATAAATAATTCTTTTAAAAAAATGACTTAAGAGACACACAGTTAATAAATAAACAAGAAAGAGCTGTCCCTATGACCTGGGGGTGAAGAAAGCTGTATCCCACAATGGCCGACCAGAGTTCAAATTCCAGCCCCAGCAACTTGAAAAATATACAAGGTGGGGCCAGCAGGTAGCATAGTGGTTAAGGCACTGGACTCCCACATGGCCAACCAGCAACTTGAACCTGGACACAGCAACTTGAAACTCATGCCAGACATATGTGCATGTAGACCCAAAATCCCAAGAGGAGAATGGAGGAGAAGAGACTATGGTAAGGCCATCCCCCTGGGGGAGGGTGATTTCTCACTTTCTGTCTGTCTGGCGAGTGCATGTGCCCTATAGCAAAAATCTCTAAAATAAAATAATAAAATAAAAGTAAAGTAAAAACACACAGGGCATCTGTATATGCGCCCACATCCTGACAGGGTAGAGAAATGAAGCAGGGATTGAAGTGTAACCACTAGGGGTGCATCCTCCCTCTCTATCTCCCTCTCCCTCTCTCTCTCAGTCTGGCAAGCACACACTCCCTCTAGCAATTTAAATAAGTAAACGACAAAAAATCAGATCTGGGGAGGAAGATGAGCCTGACAAGGTCATGCTCATACTCTGGGGTCTGAGTCTTAAAATATGGCTATGTGGGATCAGCAGTTAGCGTAATGGCTATGTCGCTGGATTCCCATGTAGTCCACCATGGTTCGCGTCCCAGGCCCAGTGACTTAAAGCTCACGCCGGCCGCATATGCGTGCGTGCCCAAGAGCCCAAGAGGAGAATGGAGGAGAAGGGATTGCAGTGTGGCCATCCCCCCTGGGGGTGATTTCTCGCTTTCTGTCTCTGTCTCTCTCTGTCTGGCGAGCACATGCGCCCTATGGCAACAACTTCTCCAAAAAAAAAAAAAAAAATACATATATGGCTATGTGACAATGACAGGTGGCCTGAAAGAGGTGGCCGATGCAGACCTCCCTGAGGGAAAGCACATCTCATCTGGAATCTGAATTGTCAAAGAACAAGCTATATGAAAGTGGAGGGGGGGCTGAGGGAGGGAGCACGCGGGCAGAGGGAACAGCACCTGCAGAGACGCAGAGGTTGGACTGTTTCCTTCCTGGCTTTTCTGGATTCCTCTCCACAGACTTTAGCAATGAGGTGTGCCCTCCTGTGAATCTTTGCAGGACCCGCTGCCTCGTTTGCCCCAGTTGAACAGGCAGGCCCCCACCCCACCTCCAGCCCTCCCTGCTCCTCCCCGGCCCCTCACTGTTGCTCAGTTAATGAGGGTAGTTTGCCTAGGGCAGCAGAGCCCTGATCCGGAAGGAGCCCATTTCCTGTCCGAGACTGCTGAGATGCTCAATCTACCTGCCCATGCTTCGCTGCTTCCTGGCGCTGAGTCCCATCCTGTGCTTCCCTCCCCACTATGAGCTCTCACTAGATTACTGGGTTCAGTATTATCATTATTGTACAATAGGGCACACATACTCTCCCAAAAGAGAGAGAGAGAGACAGCCATGTCACAACCCCCTCTCCTCTGTTTTGGTCTTGAGATTTGGGGACATGCAGACACATGCACCCGGCTGTTTTTGTGTTTTGTTTTGTTTTGTTTTGTTTTGTTTTGTTTTGCTTTGCTTTGTTTTTCAGGCTGCTGGGTCCAGGACTCAACCTGTACAATCAGCATGTGGGATCCAGCCACCTTAATCTCCGTGCCACCAGCTGGCCCCAGGGCCAACTGCTTAGTGCATGACCATTCTCAGCTGTAAATGCACACCCTAATACCTACGATGGGGAACATTCCATGAATTATAGGTAAACGCTGAAGACATGCTGCAACTGGAAGTCAGAGATAGTCACTGCACGCCAACAGGGGGCGT